CAGGAAAAGTCATCCAACCACAGTGAACATGAAAATCATTGAACCACTGGAACTTCTATACATCGATCTTTGTGGACCTTCTACAATTGAGATTGTTGTTGGCACTAAGTACATTCTCATCATAGTTGATGATTTTTCACGTTTCACTTGGGTGTATTTTCTTGAATAGAAATATAAAGGTACTCTGAAATTCAAAGAATTTATAAAGCAAATTGAGCTTCAAATGCGAAAGATGGTTCGCAATGTTCAAAGTGATAATGGCTTGGAATTCAAGAACCAAGGACTCGACGAATTTCTAGCTAAAAAGGGAGTTTCACACAATTTCTCTGCTCCCAATACTCCACAACAAAATGATGTAGTTGAAAGGTGAAACATGTCTTTGTGTGAAGCTGCAAGGACTATGCTATCCTTCGCATGTCTGCCTCTTTATTTTTGGGTGGATGCGATTGCAACTGCTTGTTATACTCAAAATTGATCCATTCTGAATAAGTGATTCTCTATTACTCCCTACGAAATCATAAATAATTGTAAACCTAATGTCAAGTTTTTCCATGTATTTGGTTCCAGGTGTTTGATTTTCAACTCCAAGGAACAACAAAACAAATTCGCTGTGAAAGCTGACGAAGGTATATTTTTGGGGTATTCGCTGACCTCCAAAGTATATAGGTTTCTCAACAAACGCTCAAAGAAGATGGAAGAAACCTATTATGTTACGTTCGATGATAACTACATGAAGAGGATTCAAATGAAGGAGAGTAAATCAGAGGAAATCTTTCCTAAGCGAAGTCCAGCTACTGTTCCGATCTCCACTCTGTACGATGAAATCATGCTACTCTTTGATGAGCCAGAGATGGCTATCACATCTGAAGCGAAAGCAACTGACAACAAGGTCGATGAATTGAAGAAGATAATTGATAAAGCCACAAAATACATGGACAATCATCCATCAACTATGAACATGCCTCAAGACACGAGGACTCCAGACCAGGGGGAGAATTCTGACTCCAATGCACATCCTCAGGGGGAGCAACCAACTCCACAAGAAATGAACATTCCATCGTAGGGGGAGGGTTATACATTGTCTCCTTCCCCTGACCCAGATGACTCTCTGCTCACCATGACTCTCGAACTTCCATTCACAAGAGATACTTCAAATCCTGATGAAGAGGACCACTCGTCATTTGAGGGGGAGAATAAGGATGTGAATGACCATTCAGACATTCAATCTGAATTCGAAGAAGTAAATGCTGAACTGGATCCTTCTTATGATCCAAATTATCCTCCAATAATCAAATAGATCAGAGATCACCACAAAACCTAAGTCATTGGTGAATCCTCTGCAGGTATCCTTACGAGATCTCAGATAAAAGCGAAACAAATTTCATTATTCTCTAACATGGGATTATGTATGTCGAGTTCGTTCGTGTCCAAGATCGAACCCAAAATCGTCAACACTGATCTTGATCATTCTGATTGGGTGCAAGTGATGCAAGACGAGCTCAATGAGTTCGAATGAAACAAAGTTTGGAAGTTAATTCCTACTCCACCTGAAGCATCAGTTGTTGGATTGAAATGGGATTTCGCAATAAGTTGGATAAAGAAGGGAATGTTATAAGAAACAAGGCAAGACTCGTGGTTAAGAGTTACTACCTGGAAGAGGGTATCGACTATGAAGAAACCTTCGTACCTGTTGCAAGGTTGGAATCAGTTCGCATATTACTGGCATACGCAACACATAAGAACTTCAAAGTGTTTCAGATGGATGTTAAATGCGCATTCCTGAATGCTGAATTAGAAGAAACGGTATATGTCGAACAACCACCTGGGTTTGTTAATGAGAAGTATCCCAATCACTGCTACATTTTGGATAAGGCAGTCTATGAACTCAAGCAAGCTCCGAGAGCCAGGTATGAAACTCTTACTCATTTCCTTAAAATGTCTAAATTTAAACAAGGTTCGGTTAACCCAACCTTCTTTCGCAAGAAAGAGGGTGACCACTTGATGATCGTCCAAATTTATGTTGATGACATCATCTTCGGTTCTACTACTTCAAGCTTAACAGCTGAATTCTGAAAGTTGATGGAAACTAAATTTGAGATGAGCTCCATGGGTCCTATTAACTTTATCCTTGGATTGAAGACCAAAAGGTATTTTCATAAATTAGGAAGCATATAAAAAGAGTCCTCTCTCTAAGTTTGGCATGGTAGGAGACTCTAAAGTGAAGGTTCTAATGGCATTCAGAACGAAACTCACACCATCTCTGGAAAAACCAGCTGTGGATATGATCCTTTATCGTCAAACGATTGGTTCCTTAATGTATATAACAGCTAATAGATCGATATTATGTTTTCTGTTTGTTATTGTTCAAGGTGCCAAGCAAATCCTCATGAACCTCACATGGTGGCAGTTAAGAATATTTTCAGATACCTAAAACGAACTTCATCTTTAGGCATATGGTATCCTGCGAATTCAGGCTTCTTCTATTAAGTGTTTTCAAATGCTGAACTTGGGGGATGTGGTTTAGATAGAAAGTATACAACTAGTGGATGTCAATTTCTCGATGGAAAACTAGTTAGTTGGCAGTCCAAAAGGCAAACAGGTGTATCACTATCAACAACTGAGGCTGAATATAAAGCTTCAACTTCGTGTACGTTTCAGGTCATTTGGATTCAAAGCCAACTTTGTAATTATGGCTTGAGTATGAAACGGATCCCTCTTTACTGTGACTCTGAAAGTGCAATTCACATTTGACACAACCTAGTGCAACACTCCAAGACAAAACACATAGCATTGCAGTACCATTTCTTCAAGGATCACGTAGAAGACGACAACATTGAAATTCATTTCGTTAGATCCTTTGATCAGTTGGCTGACACATTCACAAAAGCCTTACCTGAAACAACCTTTAATAGGATCCTTCAAGGCCTTTGAATGATGGAAGTTGAATCAATTCCAAAATGACTCTCGCACACATAATGTTTGGCACTGCAAATCAGTGCGAACATTCGCAGTAGTTCATAGTCCACTACTCATTCGCAGTCTTCTTTAACACTGCGAATCGGTGCGAGCGTTTGTTGTAGTTCGCAGACTACTGTTCATTCATGGTTCAGATTTTTCAAATATCATTTTGTACTTTATGTATATCATTGCTTATCTTTATTCTATTTTTCAATCTTTTATGTTTTTAATTTTTTATTTAGAATATCACAAAAGACAAAAAAAAAATTTCGTGTTTATTTTATTTTATTTGTTTTTCACAAAGTTCAAAACTATCAAAAATACCTTTAAAAATCACGGAGGCACAGATTCGTATCAAATCTCAATTAATGTCAAGGGGTAGGTATAACTCTCTTTATCTATGTATTAGCTAAGTGTCCCTAGAAGCATGCTGCTGCATGTTGTTTGAAGCCTCAATAGACTCTATGTAAAGCCTTAATGAATCGAATCTACCATTTGTTTCTTCCAAAACTAGGCTGTTAAATTCACATCAGTCATGAGCTACCTTACTCTTCTCATCTTGAGTTAATTGTTATCTGCTTGGTCACATTCGCATAGCAGAGGTACATTTACTTCTCAGGAACCACCTTCAGTCTTCTCCATTTGCCTTCGTACTTATATATGTAACCCTTGAGACTCTCAGCTATACCACTGAGGTTTATGGTTACGAAATATCTGAGTTAATGATCTTAGGTTCTTTCACCACAAACTAATTGAAACCCAAAATCCAACACACTTACATGAATTGACGGTGAACAATTAATTGTTCAAGGTTTTCCCCATGGAATTAAAGAAAGCCGCCTTCATGGTTTGTAGAAAGAAATATATTTTTTCTGTTATGAGATCTTTAATAAGTGTTCTTAAACCAAGTCACTTCTTTCCATTTTTTTGAGATTGCACACTTTAGTCTAGTTACTAGAATAATTCCAAACATACTAGTTCAACTGACTACACTGGTCACACGAGTACTTCATCCGATATTCGTACTTATATTAAGTTTGTTGTTTGATTGGAGAGACACCCACCCAATGAGCCAAATTAAAAAAGACCTTTCAATGTTTTTTTTTATCAAACATTTGATTGTATATCAACACGAAACCACCCAGACACTTCTTAGTCTCTCTTGACTTCCAAGGAAGAGATCTATGCCTGGGATCAACTGTTTTGTGTCTTAATACATACATCATGAAATTCCTCGTATATATCTTGATTTATTTCTTTATCTTTGACACTCTTACATGAAGGTCCTTGAGATTTTCCGAAAGTCTTGTTCGTGGTTTTTAATGCTACTTTCAGGTTCGCAGTGTTGCCAAGTTTTCTAAAAATGAAGGTTCGTAATAGATGGGTCCAAGAATGCTTAACTGCGAAAAGTGGATGATGACGTGGCAAGGTCTAATGATAAGAATTCTAAAAGGCGCATATATAATTTGAACGACCAACTATTTTTCCGTCGTATGACACACGGGTCTGACATATACAGTAGTCAAGTCGCGCTTTTTCAGGCGATGTTTTAGTACCCGATGTACTCTCTCTTTGGAATTTTCTCACAAATCGAATGGTTTTTAAAGTTTTTGACGGTTCCTCTCTCATTATCACTTTCAAAATCCTCTTAAAAGATTTCTGGCGATCAAAAGATTCAACTGTTCATCTTCTTCTCCAAGCTCTCAACAATGGCAGGTTCATTTGAAAATGTTTTTGTTCAAGATCAAACATCCCATTCTTCTCTTCTAGATGTCTAACAAAGTCAAAACATGGTGATTGATCTCGATCCAGTCAAATACGACAACTTCATGCTACCCATCATCGAGTGCCTCAAGTATTCTCCTCTCACAATTGCTCTTTCAAGAATGGAGAATGTTCCTCTCCCACTCCTACCCAAGGCTAATTCATAAGAAAACTACATCCAGGAAGAACAAAGGATTACGTTCGAGATCCACGATCGTAAAACCTCAATCACAAAATCTCAATTTTGTTCTCTTCTTCAACTTCTACAGTCTGATGATATGATCCACCCAGAGTCGGTGTCAAATGTTGCACATTTTTGGATTCTAATAGTCCACCATTCTATTGAAAAGATCCAGATCTCAGTGATGCAAAACTCTTTGATAGAAGAAATGCAAGTTATTCTTGCTGAAGTAGACAAATCCAAGAAAGGGGGAAAGGGTGCGAAGAAGGGAGTAAAGAAATCTACAGATAAGGAGGGACCTTTTGCCATTGCGAAACCTTCACCCAAAAAGTGAAAGGCACCAGTAGCATCTTCTACTACTGTTCCTAAAATAAGAAACCAGCCCGCTCGAAAGAGAAACTCACCCAATCCAAGTGAAAGTGAAGGTTTAGATTCTAAGACCGAGTCAGATATTCGGATTGAGGAAAACCAACCTGTTCGCAATGAGGAGGAAGAGCAAGTTCACAATAAGGAAGTTCGCAATGAGGAGGGTGACAACACTCGCACTGAAGAGCCAAATCCCAATCGAGAGGTAACTCAAACCTTCAATGATTCTATTCCTTCTCCTCCTCCATCACATACAACTTCTTCTATTCCAATCACCATAGCACCTTGTCCTCCACCCGTTTCTTAATCACAACAAACCAATATTCTTCTTTCTACTCCTATCTTCACTAATTCTATAATCCCACTCACTACTTCAGCCACTCCTGTAGTTTCAATCAACATATCTAATACTGGGGCTAAAACTCCAGGCTTCTCAACAGATGTTTCACCACCCATCTCCCCTTTTCGCACTAATGATCTAGACATCATTTTTGGGGATGATAATAACCGTAACCTTGGCGGATTCACCTGCAGTCCATTTCAGATAAGGACTGAAAGTGAAGATGAAGACAATGTCACGAAAGGGAAGCTTAAGTCCCTTCATGAAAAGATTGACCAACTAATTTTGCTGAAGTCTGCAAGACTACGACCGAAAAAGTCGATAAAGTAATTTCTGAAACAACTCCGTTCATGGAAGATTATCGATCCACCTACAATACCAACACAGAATCTGCGAATGCAGCTCTAAAGAATTTGGGCTCCATATTCAACGCAGAGAAGGATAACTGGAAAAATCTCCGCACATGCCTACAGAAGGATCATGAATCATTTCAAACCAACATCACTAAAGCTTCAAAATGATTTGGCGATGAAAAGTAAGGTGATGGATGCTCTCACCATGAAGACAGAAAAGATCAAAGTGTTGAGCCTTAAATTGGAAAATGCTGAAAAGAAGGTTAAGGATCAGTTATCTGAGAAGGCTGTCATGCGAAGCTGCATCTCAGATGTTGCAGGCTTACTCTCAGATATCATTGAGACCAGGGATCCAATGATTTTGATCACCGTTCAAAAGCACTTAGCTTAAAAGTTAAGTCTTGTATTCACTATGTTGCACAGACTGGAGGGTGTTTCGCCTCAAAACTCTGATCCGAAACAAGGGGGGAAGGTGGATCTGGAGTAACAAGGAACGAACCTCCCAAAGCCCCAGCCAAGCCCATCGTCAAGAAGGAACCTAAGGGAAAGGAAATTTTGATTGATGATGAGCCCATACTTGATGATGACGAAGACAAAGAGCTTGATGAAGTTAAGCTTAAAAGGCGGAAGGCTCGTGATGCTGAGTTGAATTAAACTCAACGTATCATCTCAAAGGTTGAGGAGAAAGAATGGGCAGAAATTAAGTTCAGGCCACACTTAAATGCAAAATGCTCTTATTTACCACGTAGACCCTGAAGCATATCCAACATGATGCTATGGAATTGCCCATCCAGTATTGGTTGGATCCGGTTGCATCCTTTGATCTTCAAAATTCTTAGGATTTGCAACTAGATCTTACCATTACTCCTAAAGCTTTTAGGTTTCATGAAGGTTGCAAATGCTCCTTTCACAGATAGCAGTGTTGATTACTTGTTGTTCTCTTTCTGACTTGAAGCGAGAGGTTCGACTTGTCAAGCCTACGAATTCACCCTCGCAGACTTGCCATGTATGCTTCCTCATGATTGAATTGTGCTTTATAACATGTTGCTAAGAGAGAAATAGAAGTACGAACCTCTTATGTCCCATCTCCAACTGATGATTAAGTCCTATATTCAATAAGTTGGTATGATGGATGTGGATATTGTTGTTGTTCTAAAGAAGAAGCTTACTGTCGTTCCCAAGGAAGCTCCGAAAAACTTGCAAAAGCTAAAGCCAGGAAATATATATAAGGATGGATGGTTCATGGTGTATCAGTCTAGAGAACAAACTAGAGTTGACTTTCACAAGTCTTACTTCTATCTCGAAAACAAAACATCTGTACACTATTTATTGTCTGGAATTTATATTGCATTTGGTTACCAAGTTCAAGGGTAACCTCAAGGATGACGTCAAGTGCTTTTTGGATATGATTTTGTGGTATATCCAGGTTCGCAAGATACTGTTGTGCTTCATTCCTAAAATCTATGCAGTGCAGAAGTGAATCACTGGCTGATGGACTATAATCTCAAGTGACACAAAGAGGGAGATTGTTGAGTATTAGATGTTGCGTCATTGGCCCTTTTTTAGTCTACTTTGTATTAACAAGTTGGGCCTGTCCACTCGCATTTCTTTATAGGGTCAGTATATTTATGGTGCATGCATGCATCTATTTGAGTTAACAATTACGTTGTAACCCTAAATCACCTCTACAGTTGAAATTCTTCATCGAGTTTATTTGAGGCGTGGCGTTTAATCATTCTGCATCAGTTTGATTATCATTATGTTCTTGCTTTACCTGTTTGAATCTAATCGATCTTAAAGGATTTTCATACTAACAGTTTTGAAAGGAATTTTGTAGAGCAGGGGTTGTAGTGTAAATATTGGACCTTATCTGAACAAATTTGCAGAGTCAGGGACCAAACTTGTAAAAAATGTATCAAAGTTTCATTGTACACGGGATTTGAACCCGTCTCTTTCCCCTCCTATTTTTAAGCCTCATGTAACCCTAACCCTAACATCACTATCACCAGCCGCCACCTTGTGACCCCTTATCATTTAGCCACTGCCCCTCCACCAATTGAAGTTGGAAGCTGCCAACTTTTCCGTTATCGACGAAGATGAAGAGCCACGAACCGATGTTTTGTTAGTTGGGAAGATCAAGAGAGCGAGGATCGTGGGTGTTGCTACCGTTGTTTGCAAGATTGGTCACCAAACTTCTCCATCTCCATTCCTTCTTAATGTTATTCGTTGTTGCCGCTACCAGGCTTGGATTGCATTATCACCGTTGCCGATGTTTTGTGCTGCCATTCTTTCATTATCCATCTGATGTCGCCCTCCTCCTATAAGACTGAAGTACAAGCGTGGTGGGTGTTTCTGCTCATGTATGGATGTGTATTTCAGAATATTTCGGAGTGTGTGTGTACTTTGGTTGGTTGGAAGTCGAAGAGAACCACCATGGTCGTCAACCATGGTGGTTGTCATCATTGTTTCCTTTTTTTTCCACTACCAGCCGTTGTGTGGTGTGGCTATGTATGTGAAATGGTGTTTATATGTTTGTGTTTATTTCAGTTGAATTTTGTTTTGGGTGTTGCTTGACTGGAAACCGAAGAAAACCCACAACCATTACCACCGTGAGGTGGTGGCTACCACCTCCTGCCACCGCCGACCACCGTTTTTGGTGGTTATATTGGGATTTTCTTAGTCTTTTGGTGCTAGTGTGTGTGTGTGGGTTATAGGAAATTGTATGTGTGTTGGACTGTTGGAATTATTACTCAAATCGTCGCCGTATGCAGGTAGCTGCCGCCATTCACCGTCGCCAACCACCACTGCCCGAGGTGGCAGTGGGTGGTGCCCGATTTGTGAGAGGATTAGTAGACAGTAGTGAGTTGTATGATTGTTGTTTGCATGTATTATGTGCCTACTTGATCATGATTGTTTATATGTCGACATATTGTGTTTGGTTGGGTTGAGGCGGTCCTGCTTTGTGCGGTAGGCCAAGATACCCAGTCGGTTAGGGAGTAGGCTATAGGCACGGAGGCTGGGGAGGAGCGGTAGGGTTTAGGTGGTAGGCCAACAAACCCTGGTTATTCCAACCCGATGGTTGATTGGACCCGGCATATTAGTATTCTAGCCCGAGGCTAATTGGGCTAATATGCTTATGATATGACGATATTCCATCCCAAGGATGATTGGACCCATCATGGACATACCTTGTATTCCAGCCTGAGGCTGATTGGGCCAGACATGAGTAATTGTGTTAATGCTTGTTCTGTGTAATGGTATTATAGGGAAAACTCACTAAGCTTTGTGTTTACAGTTTTGTTTATGGTTTCAGGTTCTTCAGATGATCAGAGTGGCAAGACGAATGCATAACCGTACACATCTTTGATTTTACAAATAATTGGATATTGGAAACTCTGATTTCAAATAATGTTTGAAAACACTATTTTTGTAAATATTTTACTAGTAAAATGATCGTTTTGAAAAGTTTAAATTTATTGAAAATTTTGGGATGTTACATTATTTAGTTGAATCAAAATAAATAAAAAATACAATAGCCATAAATAACCAAAATCATAAAGAAAATAGAAAACCAATAAAACGCAAACACCAAAATTGTAATATACTCTAATATATTCATACATTTTACACTTTTTGAAAAAGATAAAAAAAAAAAAATTATCAAATGATGAAAAATAAAACGAAACAATGAAAAAAAAAGGAAAAAATAAAAAAATAATACGAAAAAAATAAAAAAATTAATACAAAAAAATTAAAAAATGTTTTGGAAAAAACCAAAAAAATATGAAAAGTATAAAATATATTAATATATTGGAGTATATTACAAGTTTGGTGTTTGAGTTTTTGTTTTTTATTTGTCTAGTTTTTATTACTTGAATCAAAATAAATAAGAACCATAGAAGAATAATAAAAAAATAAAATTAGAAAAAAATTAGAAAACAAAAGGTGAAATAATGATAATAAAAAATAACAACATAAAATTGCTAACGATATTCACTATGAAGCATTCAAGTAAAAAAAACATAAACCGTAACGACATAAAATTAAAAGAACATTAACACTTAAATTCAAAAAAAAAATTGAAGAAAAAATGGTTTTGACATCATTTATTGAATATAAGTTTATTTACTTGAATCAAAATAAATAAAAACATTAATAAATCATAAATAAAAAAATTATAAAATAAAAATAAAAAAGAAAACATCAAAAAGATAAAAGAAAAGTTATCAAATTATTTATATATATATATATATATATATATATATATATATATATATATATATATATACACGCACGCACACATACATCGGAGAGAGAGAGAGAGAGAGAGAGAGAGAGAGAGAGAGAGGTGATAACGGGTCAATTTGGGTTGGGTTCAGGTCCAACCCATTTATTAATTAGGTTGAAGATTTTAACCCAATCAAACCTTTTTATTTAAATGGGTAGATATTTCCAACCTAACTCAACCTTTCAGATAAATGGGTTGTCACCAGGTTGACCCGTTTATATAATTCTTAACCCAACCTATTAAATAAATAGGTTAAACCTAGGTTAACCTGTTTAAAATATAAAATAAAACAAATAAATTAACTAAATATTACATCACTTAAATTAGTTTGAAACTTAAATAAACTTTTAAAGTATAATAAAATCACAATCACAATTCACAAATACAAATAAATTATTCAAATAACATTAAATATATGTAATTTCGAAATTATTTTGAAAAGTGACTAGTGTTGTTAACGCAAAGAAAAACGATTGCAATTAGGATTTCATTTATTAAACATAAATAATAATACGACATTGTAATTTACAGATTAATACTTAGATTAATAGATGATAATATTTAAATAATTATTAAATTATATATGTTAAACTTAAATGGGTGGTGGGTTGAAAACGGATTGACAACATTTACCCAACCCAACCTATTTAATTAAATGGGTTAGACGAGTTGACTCATTTATCATCAATGGGTTGAAAATCTCAACCCAACCTGCTAATTTTGGGTTGGATTGGTAAGTTGGGTCGATTTTTTTCAACTTTCTCTTCTCTCTCTCTATCTCTGTTTGTATGTATGTATGTATATATATATATATATATATATATAGAGAGAGAGAGAGAGAAAGATATGTTCAGGTGTTTAAAGTAATTATTGTGTTATTGTATGCATAAATGTGGACCAAACAAAATTAAATAACTAAATAAACAAATCAGGGTAATTTAGTAATTTGATTAATAAGTTTCAAAAATAGTCCTTATAATCATGCTTATAACCTAAATAAATAAATAAGCATGTCTTCAATCTCCCACCCGATAAAGCCTTAGCATTGACGTGTCTTCAATCTCCCACCCCGATAAAGCCCTAGCATTGACGCTTTCAGTGTTCAGAAGATTCTCCTTGCACTTTCACTTCATGGGAGAGGGCACGACATATCAAATGTTCATCAATTCTCCTTACAACCGATCATCACCAATGGCAGTAGTGACGAACACGATGGTAGACAAAGCCCAACACACGATTCCAACACCTCAAAATCACCAAAAAAAAAAGATTATGAAAACCATTGCGGGCCGATTCGAGAAGCTTTTCAGTAAACACGATGAATCCTCCATTAAATACGATTCATCAAATTTACCCACAACTTCATTCGACAACGGTGAGTCAACAGAAGTATCCGCCTTCACTACAACGTTCAAAGAATAAATGGAAACCAGGGAATCAACAGACGAAGGAAAGGAAACGCCTGAAATGTATGATTGAAGGTGGTGCTAAGAAAGGATTGAAGGAGAGTTTTGACCAATTTGCAGGATTGCTTGGTGAAAGAGTCAAACCCGTGAATCAGTTATTGTATTAGACAAATATCAAATATTGGAGGCTTTGCTGAATGATCACCAATCCCATTGGGAATTAGGGTGGGGTATTTTTATAATCTCACTATGTTTTCTACTGTTTTCATGGTTGTTTATGCTTTTGTGCATATTTTTTTTATGTGAGTCGAATCGGATTCAAGGTTTAGAGTTTAATGGGCTTAAATTGCCTGATAGTTTCGATGAATTTGTTACGTGTGGAGTAATTTTCTTCAACTTGGAGCGCATTTATATCATGGTTTCCCGGTTTGTCCAAGCTAGACTGAGTAGAGGTAAACTTCTCCCTTTGTCACTTGTCAAAAATTTATTGATTATGCACATGTTTATGCTCTTATTGATTGTTGACAGGAAACGATCATGGTGTCAAAGCTCAAGGTGAATGATGGGTGCTTATAGTAGCACTCATCGAGGGAAACAAGTTAGCTCCATTGGATTGTTCGGGTTTCTCAGTTCCTTTTGTAGTGTTAACATGCAATGGGAAGACAAGAACAAGTTTTGTCAAGCTTCAAACTCTCGATACACAATGGAATGGTTTGTTAATTGTCAAAATTTTAACTGATTTTATCAAGATTCTTGAAAATTGATGACAATTGGTTGCTAAAATTCTTGCATAAATACTCGAGTTTAATGCTGCAGAAGAACCCCCGTCGTTATTGGATGTTGAAGTTTTTGACTTTGATGGTCCTTTTGGTCAACCGACTTCACTTGGTCATGCGGAGATTAGATTCTTGAGACATACGTTTGAAGAATTGTTTCCATTCTTTTGTGTCTTTTCATTCTGCAAACAGGTAAATATAATGATGACAATTCTGTTGGAATGGAATCATGAATTCCAATTCTATTGGAATGGAATCATGAATTCCAATTTTGTTGGAATCTAAACTACAATTTAGTTTTGTTTTCACAGAAGTTGATGCTTGAAGAACGGACCGCAAAATTGAAAGTGATTCCAAGCAACATTATTCTTTTAGAATGTATTACTTTCATTGTTAGATTTTGATGTTTTCTTTCCCATTTTGGAAGTTTTTTTTAGTTTTATTCTCTAACAATAAATGTAATTATTAATAATTCTTACATGTATTCTACAAGAAATAATGTATTTTTTGTTTTTATCCTTCAATTAATTGTTCAAGAATTTGTTATTCTACAAGAAGTTTTTAAAGTCATGATCAAGAAATAGGTTCAAGAATATTATTATTATTTATGGTTCTAGAATATTTTTATTTTTGAATATACTCAAAACCACATTCTATAAGAATGTCTGAATTAAAAGAATTATAATTCGTAAAATCGGATTTTTAAAATTAATAGAATCTATGATCCCTTAAAATATACAATTTTCCTTTCTTGAATCTATATTAATTGACTAAAATATCCTTGTAATTAAATTAGATGATATTTTTCAATTATATTAATTCAATAATATATATTAATTACTATCTTAAAATAAGTAAAATTGATTGGTCCACATTTATGCATATAATAACATAATTATTACTTTGAATAAAATAACTTAAGCTTATATATATATATATATATATATATATATATATATATATATATATATATATATATATATATATATAGGGAAAAATGAATATACATTACAGCTCCACCTAAGCTTAGGTACTAAACCTCATGAAAATACATTGTTTTACTATATAAAGATTCTGGTTAAGGGATTCACAATTAACACTTGATGATGTAGATTCAAGATAGACGAAATAGTTTTGATAAGGAAGCAAGAATATAGATTATTTTCGACCTTATTAATAGTGGAAAAAAGTAATGTTTACTGGAGTGAAGTAATTAACAATAATTTAGGAAAGAAAACAAGCATGGTAAAATGATAATGGAGGAAGAAAATGTTATCGACGAGGTATATTTACCAAGTGAAAACGAAATCGGGTATATTTGCTAAATTAAAACGACATATTTTAGTGGTTTTGTACCTAAGCTTAGGTGGGGCTGTAATGTATATTCATATATATATATATATATATATATATATATATATATATATATATATATAGGGAAAAGTGAATATACTTTTAACGATATATACGTTTAGGTACCCAAATTCATAATATCAATTCGTTTTTTATCATATATATATATATATATATATATATATATATATATATATATTGTAATTGTCGAATGTTATTCTAATTCAAGTTTTAATTAATTTCAAGATTTATATAAATTTTAGATTTGTCTTCCTCTTACACAATTGTAATTTTTAACTATAATATATAAAGCGTAGTAGGTGTCCGACATAAAGATGTGATGTAAGAGAAAGATAATAGTGAAATTTCGAAAATCTTGAAAGTAAATCAAGTTAGGGTTGAAGTTTAAGAACATTATAATAAATATATCAAACAAAACAATATATTATGATGGGTTAGGGTACCGATATTTATATACATTTAAGGGCATATTCAGTATGGGTTAGGGTACCTATATTTATATACCCTTAAGGGCATATTCAGTGTTCCCATATATATATATATATATATATATATATATATATATGGGAACACTGAATATGCCCTTAAGGGTATATAAATATAGGTACCCTAACCCATACTGAATATGCCCTTAAATGTATGTATATATATATATATATATATATATATATATATATATATATATATATATATATATATATATATATATATATATATATATATATATAACTTTAATTTTACAAAATTACACAAATGGTCCCTTAGATTTGTAGTATATTGTAAATTTGGTATAAAGGTAAAATAGTTTTTTTCATAAAAATCTAACAGCTGAGAATTTATATTTAACGGCAGGAGAACCATTCATTAAATTTTGCAAACCGTAGGGATCAGTGACGTAACGTTTTCTATAAAAATCTTCAACATAAAATATTTTCCAAACTATAAGGACCAATTATGAAATTTTATCTTTGATTAATAAAAATATTTGTAACATAAAAAAGGGAGGAGGGGATTGCACCACTGCCATATGTTATAAAGGGATAAAGCAGGTACTTACACACTGTAGTATGGTCCATGAAGGAAGAAGGGTGATCAATGGACCCCCACCTACCATCAGTTCAGTTTACCTTCCTGTACGAACAAATAATCGGTGAATTCTCAATTTTCAAAAAAGTGAAAAACCAATGCATCATT